AAAAGCAAAACTGGCCGATCAAAACTGCAGCCCAAATTTATCTGGAGGCATGGACGGAGGCATTTGATGAAGTTGCCTCAGCACATCTTTGTTTTGTCTAGACAACAAACATCCACATCTAAAGTGGTTCGTCCCTTGTTGCTTTCAAGTAGTTGCTTTAAAAACAACCACACAACCGATTTTGAAGTTCTTCTGACCAGGGCTGGATTTAAAGTATGGGACTGCAGCCGAGGGAGTCAGTAATGCTTAACAGGCTGACTTCCTGCCGCTCCCAAAACATCTCTGCCAGCACATGAAAGAATCCACTCAATAAAATTGCCTTTCTTCTCCCTCTTTGACGTGGTGCTTGAGAGCGTGTAGCATTCAGAGCCCGTCCCACTGTGCTTGGGGCCTAAAGTGCATTCACCTAGCGGATCTTGGACACGTTGGTCCAGCAGGTGCTGCCCAGAGAGGGCCTGAAATTGCACTACCATTAGGATAAAATTGATTTCTGTTTCAGTGTTTTTCATGCAATGTAACTGCAGCCAGTGGAGGCCTGGGGTCTGCGATCTATCTCTCGGCCCACAGTACAGTTAAATTAATGGCCCCGGTGGCTAGAGAAAAACATGCACAGGCCTCGGGTCGGCCATTTAACCACAGGGTGCTGTGCACAATGGACATGAATTCCCTTTAATACTGAAGATCAGCTTCTATAATTTCACAGCCTCCTTGCAGAAATGACCTCAGCAGAGGAGGGAAAGATTACCTGCCTCCAGCCAACTCTCACCATTACAGGATTTTGTTCTTTTCCTCATCTTTTTTTCTGACTCCAACAGAAACAAAAAAAAGATGAATACACAGCTGGTGAGGAATGTCTATAATTTTGCAGTGTTGGGGTTAAATTTCAAAGTGAAAACGTGCAAAATGAGTTCCTGAAGAATTCAGCAAGTTCTATGCGGAGTGATCATTTTAATGTGTTTACATTTACTCATTTAGCTGACGCTTTTATCCAAAGCAACTTACAATTGCTATATATGTCAGTGGTCACACACCTCTGGAGCAACTAGGAGTTAAGTGTCTTGCTCAGGGACACTTTCACACCAAAGGCATGTGTCCTATCCACTGCACCATCACAACCCCGATCAGCTGTTAGGATTTGATTTTGATTATGATCTCTTCCTGTCTCTCGGAAATACTTGATTGTGATTGGTCATACGTCGTGGTATTCTTCACTAGAATATTCTTGTATAGTGACACCACACTATGATTTATTAACTATAACTTAAACCAGATAATTATAGTTTATGTAAGTTGATAAAAATGTGTGTAGTGTAAGTGTAAAAATTTAATTAATTTCATATTAATTTCTTGCTTCTACATATTTTTGTTGTCTTGAAATGGCATTTTACATGTCCATAGAGTTCTGTGTATATATTTGCACCGGTCAACATTTGTTGTAGATTTATTTGTATGCTGTAGAATGTCTTCATTCTCATGACAGACTCATCAGTTGAATAACAGCCAGACAGCTCCACACATTAATCAGTTGTCATATTTCTTTGGTTTATTTCCTGAAAAGAACCAATTTACGTGGCTAATAGTTTTCCCTTTGTCAGAGAGCTTCTTAATTACATTATAATCCTCCTAAAATGAGTTGAATATGGTTAAATGCAGTGTTTAATCTGCTGCCGTTTACCAATGTGACATTCTAGTATTTGAGATTAGAGGTTCATCATGCAGAGGATCTTGATTTGAATCAGCTGTCAGTCAGAGTTATAATGATGATTGAACACTGACACCAGATAGGGACTGATCTGATATACGTGTTCACATCAACACGCACACGACAGACACATTTTGTTTTTGGTTAATGCTTATAAAATTGCTAGTAAAAGCTCAAATGACATAAAATGAATTTAGCTTTTACATTCATTTTATGTCCAAATGATTTCCAAATGAGCTCTGGTATGTTTTTCTCCAACATAAGCTTCTGTTCATATCTGCTCATATGCTATACAACATTTAGTTACTGTCCTCTAATCTGAAAGATCAAGCAATGTTCCAAGAGTGCTCACATAACTGCCCAACAGCACTGGGACTTTCCACAGTTTGTATCTCTCCGCTTGTCTATTTGTGTTAAGGCCTGTTCACACCAAGGACGATAACTACAACCATAATGATTTAATCCACACCACAACTATAATGATAATGATACAGTAGATGCAGAATTGTTGCAGTGACAAAACTGCAGCACATGCTTAAAATTAATAGAAAACTATCATGCGTTGATGTGGACACTAATATGGTTTTCGTTATAGTTATTTTTCTTGATGTGAATTGCCCTAAAGTGGTTGGAATTTTAGAGCCTATATTTTTGCTGATCAGATAGCTATCTGATCCTGAAAAGACCAGTTGTAAATGCCCTCCAAAGAGCCTTCGAGATGAATTTTAATCTGATCACTCAAACCATTTCAGGAGGTGGTTTGAGACTCATTCCAAACGAAACTGGACAAGTGTAAATGCATCTGGTTATTGAAACCACATATGCAATTTTTACTCCTCCCAAAATGGTAAAAAAATAAAAATAAACGTGTGACCTTTTTATAGCCTACATAACTGTTATAGCCAGATATGCCACAGCATCACCATACACCATGTAGATGAGTAGAGTTTTTCTTCTGAAAGCCAACTCGCAAACTGCCGCAAATAAAACTGAAAGTAAGTCTCAGGCATTCAACACATAATCATCTTAATTAAAAGTATTGAGACTAAATCTTACCTGTGCTGATGTCGCTCTCCTATTGTGGTATTTCATCTTGAAATTAGCAGAAAATAAATAAAATGCAGCTCATATCTGTTGCTTTCATTAGCTGTGTTTCCATTACCCTTCAATTTGCGCAAATTGAAATTGCGAAATCAAAATATGCTCAATGGAAATGCGTACATTTCGCAAAAACTCCCGTTTATCGCAAAAAAAGTTTACGCTCGTATGAGGAGGTTTTTCAGGCAATTCGAAAAAGGATTTTTTCGCAAAACTGCAATGGAAACGGATTTTGCGCATTTACGGTCACCTGACTTAGAAGACGGAGTGTGTTTTAGGTCCGTGTCCGCAAATAATAATAATAATCATCATCATTAGCCTAACATTTATTAGGCTATGTAGAAGATGCTTTTATCAAAAAAGGAACAAAGCAGTTAGTCACATCTCATCAGTACAGTTTGGACAATAATGATAATAGGGATAATCATAATAATACATAATAATATGATAAAATAAGATTATCATAAATAAACACTCGATTTTGACCAATATCCAAGAGTGTGTGTGGAGTTTGGAGCACGCACTGGACGGCAGACAGTCGCGGGCGCACCGTGGAAACTTTCATTTTGCCATCAACAGTGGAATCAACTTAAATACAAAAATAAAATGCGAATAAATAATACATTATTTGCAACTAATTTTATTTGCGTAATGTCACAATAACAAGAAAACGTTGTGCTTTTGTAAAATAAAATAAAACAATCAGGCGCGCTTTACTGTATGATCTTCGTGAACTGAAGTGCGAGAACTGAAACAATAGCCTTTATAGACCATTTCACAAGATGTAAACAACACTGGTCCAGAAGCACTTCCTGTTTCAGTTTTTTAACACTACATAAAAGCTGGGATAAAATACAACCAACAGAACATTTAAAACTGAATCAAAAAGTTCAACAAACATCTTTAAGATGTTTCCTTTACATGTGAAATAAAGAAAACAGTTACAAACTGAAACAGGAAGTGCTTCTGGACCAGTGTTGTTTACATCTTGTGAAATGGTCTATAGACTAAAGCTTTAAATGTCCACTTTAAAAAGAACAAATTCGAATCGTCAGCTAATACCTTCTGATTATGTAAGCCGTATGAAAGGAGCAGCTCTCTCTAAAGGTGCATCCGGAGATTATGTTTTTAGCTCGTTATTTTTTCAGACGCATTTAATAACTCACCTATACAGCACTGCGGGACAAATATCATAAATATCCAGGTTCCAATTTGGCCTTAGAAAACCAGTAAAATCTACATTTTGTCCCATATTAATTTGTGAATATTTTAAATGTTTTAAAGGGGGCAAAAAGTCATAAACAAATATCTGAAAATTCGCTGAGATGTATAAAGGCTAGCGCAGCATTGGTGTCAAACTAAAATGTTGGTGTTCAACGTTGCGTTTTAAAAATACAACAACCGTTCATTTTTCGTTTTGCAACTACCGTTTGGGACATAATACGAAATAGAGTTCTTTATTAAATTCATAAAAAGAAAAGAAACAGTAATTACAGGAATAGCCTCAACCTCTAAACCTCAAAGAAATGCCATCAAGACATCAAAGAAAAAATAAGGGAGAAACACAGGAACTCCGTGTCTTTCCCTGCCATTAATGCTTGGATAACACACCACATCTCCTTCCATTAATAATAATAATAATAATGTCTAGTGTGGTGCTTGGCTGTGATATAGGTTATAAACCTATGCCATGATTTTTGGAATGACTCATCGCGAGAGAGAGAAAAAAAAAAGACGTTTTAGTCGCATAACATCGGTTAATGGAAACACCGTCATTTCGCAATAGTTTTTTAACGACATTTGGAAAATATGTCAAAAGTTTTACGCAAATCTGTAATGGAAACGCGCCTATTGACGTGAATTTGCATATAGCTCGGAAATTGAAGATCACAATATATTTGTTTTGTGTATATAGGCACGTGTGTGGCCAAGTGTAAATAAAACCACTTTAAACAGTCTTGGGGAACAGATAGCTATTTGATCAGTAAAAACACTTACAGTAACAAGGTGTAAGTACACTGGTCCTTACACTGACTCTTTCTGCAGTTACATAGTTACACCAGTAGGACCAGAACTTACTGTTTGACTCCATCACCTTTTCTTCTTCAGAGTGTGTGAAGCAGGGCTAATTTAATGTCATTACACTGAATATGTGCAGATGACATTCTGATGTTCTCATAATGTCTCTTTCTCTCTATAGGTTCAGCAGATTGATAGAGTGGTGGAGGTTGTGGACGAGGCTGTCAAAGGTCAGTCTCTCTCTTACACACACTCTCAGCCTGTCTTTCTGTCTATGTAAAGGTATCTGTCTCACTGCTGTGTGTGATCATGGAAGTCCAGCCAGAAGATTACATTGCAGTAATCCAGTTTAGAGATCTTCCTGATGTAGTATAGTGCAAACCTGCATGATCAAGCTGTCTTTGCGATGTTGTCTTTAAAGATCACTTTGAAGCGAGAGAGAAATATAGCAGCAGAATATTTTAGAGGAACAACAGATCCACATCAGCAGCTTCAGTGCTCGTTAGTGTTGCTCAGGATTGTTCATTCACTGCATGACTACGTTTGAAGGGAATGTGTGTGTTGCCTTGAGCATTTCTCAATGTGGAAGTTGTCATGTTACTTTACTTTTATCATACGTTGAATAAGTAGCTGGTCACACGTTTAGTGTTGCTCAAATCCTAGTGCACTGCCTACATTACACAGCTGTCCTTCACAGTGAACACAATCCCAAAAAGCACTGATATAAGCTCTGTGTAATGTATCTGGTCTGCTGCCACAGCATTTAATGAAATATATTTATGCAAATGAGTTATCTAATTTAAAGTACCACATGCAAGTGTAGAGTAAATGTGATAATGCATTATGCTTGGAGTGTAAACATGTTAACATCAAACTCCATTTAAATGAATTGTGTATCTAATATACTTCAATCGTTGAAATTTGTCAGTATTAAAGCTAATAAAACAATCAAAGCTATTAATGTGGATTAATATGGACATAAAGAGCGTTTTTGAGCCTCTTAACAGACACAAAATGCAATTAAAATGTCTGTCCAACATGAACAGGGACCCTACATGTGAACAAGATGTGTTTAGCAACTTAGCCATTGTTTCAGCTCAACTAAATAGTCTTTTAGACGGCAAGCTGTAGTCTCGCGCTGCAGTCCCGTGCTGTCGCCGGAAAAGGTAAACAATGTCCAGGTGGGAGGAGCGTTGATTATGTGCAACAAGTTTTTTTTTTTTTTTTTCAAAAAAGCCAAAAAAGGCTAACTGCATACATGTATCTTATTCCCCACAAAACTAGTGCATTTCATTGTTGCTTATCAGTGTAGGCTGCCGACCATTAGGCATAACAATGTATAACATAGCAACAGAAAATTGAGTGGACCATCTCTGCAGTGGTATTATTTTGTTATTCTTTGATTTGTCCCTCCCATTCATTTGAGATTACATTTCTATTTAGATTTATTTTAGGCGCTTGTTTATCTTCCGCTGTCGTGTTGACTTTGAGAATATCACAACACTATGCTTTATAGCAGGGGTTCTCAACTCCAGTCCTCGTGACCCACTGCTCTGCATATGGGCTCTATGCACGGCGGTATTTCCGGTGAAGCATTAGGGATGCTCGATAACTTCCGCCGATCATAGAGTCCAATGCAATAGCAAGAATTTATATTGAATTTTATACTCCATGGTTATACTAATGAAACCTTAGTCACAAAAACAGATAAAACAGACACCCCTCGTTGTGTTTATGCTTCTTTTTAAAATTATATCAAATAAACATAACTGTATATAAAATTACATCTAAACGTATGTACGTTTCGTTTCAAAGATGGGAGGACAGTAAATATTGAAGACTCTGCCATAATCCCGTTTTCTCCGGTTTTCCTCCGCTTTAATCTACACAACCGGAAATAGACGAGCATCCTTGCGTCAAATGCGGAACTTATGCGTGCATATAGCCCATTGTGTATGTCTCCCTTACTTAACACACCTGATTCAGATCCTCAGCTCGTTAGGATAGACTCTGGCCATTTCTCAAAACCAAGAATGCAAAGAACAGACTTGTGTTCTTGAGAAGAAAGCTCTTGCTAGTTGTTCTTGGAAGAACAAACTCACGAGGTGACGAGCACACAGAACGCTGCTGACAGTTTGAGACGATGTGTTCTTGCTGGTATTGCACAATAGTACCCCCGCACAGATGCCGTCTGCAGTGCCCAAACATAACGAGAATTTTTGACGATAACAGCCAGGCTTTATCACCCAAGCCTTAGGGATTATACACTACAATATAATGTATATTCATTACAATAAAGCAACACCTGTCTCATTTTAATTCTGCTTCTGTTGTTTGTTTGTGTACATCACTAGCTAACGGCGGGGAAAAACGCCAGTAATATTCAGATAACTTAAAGGGTACCTATTATGGATTTTTGAAAATTGCCCTTCATGTAGTGTTTAACATAGATCTAAGTGAAGGGAAACATCCTGCAAAGTTTTAAACATGAAAGTTCATCGTGTACAAAGTTATTGTCTCTCAAAAGTAAGAGTCGACTCTGAGTCGCTGATATGAATCGTTCGAAGAACGATGCTTTTCCTTTGTCTAGTTGACGTCAACTTGACAAGTTATTTGAATAAGAAACGCCCACTTATTGGGCTCGGACACGCCAGGGAAAACCGGAAAACAATCTTGTCGACGAGACGCTGTGTTTTGAAGTGCGACGCAAAAGCGAACTTTTTTCACCTGCCAAGTGAGGAGCATTTGAAGACTAAGTGGCTGCCTGCAGTTCATATATACAAGTATACCACACACAAGTATAGCCCAAACCTTGTTCTGTGTTCGCGTCATTTTGAAGATGATTGCTTCACAAACCTAAACGCTATAAAGCACATGTGTCAAACTCAAGGCCCGCGGGCCACAACCGGCCCGCAAATGAATTATTTTTGGCCCGCATGACAAAATGTATTTATTTTTAGAGCTGGCCCGCCGTCACTGTGTCACGTGACAAGCAATGACGCGTCACCATGGAAACATGACCGCGAAAGCGTGACATTCTGGGCGGTAACCCGGATGAGTGGCCATTATGGGGGCACTCGGATGTAAACAACAGCATTTACTGCACTATGTATGTACTACGGAACACATTGTTACACTAAAAAACACAGAAAAAACCCTTGGTAGGTACGAAATCATATAGAGATGGACTTACCAAGCAGGAGAGAGCGTAATATTTTGACAAACTAAAGTTAATATGTGGTAATGGTGAGCTTCTATAGCCCGTACTGCAATTCTTCCTTCTATTTTCTTGTTCCGACATAGGCTACGCTCAGATTGTCAGTCCAAAAAGCACATGAAATCCGTTTCAAGCTAGCAGCTACATCCATATGTGGTTTGAAATCCTATTCAAATACCATATGCCTCAGTCTGAACGATCGGATTTCGGATGGAATGCGACTTTCACGCCACATAAAATGTAACGTTAAACATCAGTTTTAGAGGAGACATGCTGCAAGTCGCTGCCGAAACAATGCTGTGTTGTTGCAAAGTGCCGGACGAGCAGAAAAATATTATTTCTGAAACATGTATTGAAACCGGCGCTGACAAGAACGCGGAAAAAGCCGTAACGTTGCATAACAGATTCCTACCGTTCTGCAGCTCAATACGCAATTCCACCAGAGGCTGTTTTAAAGTCCCTAATATAGTCCAGCGCGGCGGTGGCTACACACATCCATGTTGTAAAAATTAAATAAGAAAACATCACTATTGCAAATGCAAACCCCTCCATCAGTGTCAATGTCAGTGCCGTATTGCTGATGTTGTGCCTCTGTCAACCACAAACGCCTTCTTTCATCAGTTTTTGCACTCTTCTCTTTAACGTTTGGTAGTCTGTAACTCAAAAGGTATTTTCCCCGATGTGACAGTGACAGATTAGTACAGACCAAACTCGGCCATTTTTCAGCATAAATAATCAGCCAAATTTGAAGGAAGGTGAACTTTGAAAAGGTGGACTTTCATTTTTGCATTTCTTTCTCTTGCTATAGGACATTTGATTTTCCTTTGAAGTAAATAACTTTTGTAAATAACCATAAGAAATTAGTGAAACTGATTTTATTTATTAATTTTATTTTATTTTATTTCCTAATTAATGTTGTTTTATTGGCAATAATATATAGACCTTGTTGTTTTCAGGTTCATAATAATAATACGTTGTTTCAATAAGTGTTTAACCTGTCCGGCCCTTGACCTATAGCAATTTTTTGATCTCGGCCCACTGTGTATTTGAGTTTGACACCCCTGCTATAAAGTATGGATTTGCGAGCCGGCTCTAACAAGCTGAGGATCTGAATCAGGTGTGTTAAATAAGGGAGACATACACAATATGCAGAGCAGTGGGTCGCGAGGACTGGACTTGAGAACCCATTTAAGGTGATAGGCATTCCGTTTTCGACAAACTCTGCACAGAGAAAACCAATCACAACTGACTAGGTCATCTGACCAATCACCGCAGATTAGCGTCACGCAAAGGCGGGTTTTGGAAAAAGGACTCGCTAAACGATTCATATGGGAGTCGGTGAGCAAATCAGGTAAAAAGACTTACTATAAGACAACAAAAGTGTTGTAAAAAGACATATTATAAGACAACAAAAGTGTTTTTTGTCATTGCATGCTTGTAAAACTGTTGTTGGGGACTCCCAGAAAAATATTAGGAACATTTTAAATGCCATAATAGGTACCCTTTAAAAATGACCTGCCTCTCTCTGCTTCCCGCTCCTCCTGCGAATGCCGAAATTAATTATGGGATAGTTCTGCGTCAAGTTCACACAAGTTACCAACCGATGCATCCTCGGTAAAATGGGAGTGTCAAGAACACATCCGGGATTTTTAACCGTTCTTGCCAAAATGCAAACTTGCGTATTGGGACGCGACTGATGACGTTTCACAAGTCCACAAGAACACAAGTACAGACAAGAAGGCATATTGAGAAACGGCCTCTGTGTCTATCCTAAGGAGCTGAGGATCTGAATCAGGTGTGTTAAATAAGGGAGACATGTACACAATATGCAGAGCAGTGGGTCGCGAGGACTGGAGTTGAGAAGCCCTGCTTTATAGAATTTATATCTATCAAAATTTATTTTAAATGCTTGTTGTAGCTCTAATTGTGAGCCATCAGAATGCTTGAGAATTGTTGTGTGAATAAAGCAATTGCCCATGTTGTTGACTGTGATTTGGGACCATGTCCAGGTGGCTCATGTGAGAGTATGCCACAGTTCAGAGAGCTCTTGGCCTCTCCTCATTGTTACTGCTGTCGTCAGAGGAATCTGGGAGTTCATTTCCATGATGTTATGCTTTATGAAGGTGTGTGTGAACATCTGTAGGGTTGAGCTCAGGATTTTCTACACTATGAGGAATCAGGATAATTCATGGCCACGTCTCTTTATCTTCTCGGTCCGCTCCTTTTCTCTCTCCTTATGCTCTCGGCTCAGTCAACATGCAGCAGACACTCTCCCTCTTGGCTTGAACAGCTATAGGTGTTCTGGGGAAATGACAGCTCACGGCCTGTCTCTTGTGGCCTAAAGTTAATGTGTGATTATGTTGGAATATAACACAATCCTTTATTCTCTTTGGCATCAATCTGTATTCATGGCTTGCGGCATGATGAGTTTGTGCCATTGCTTGTGTGTGACGCTGTGTTTGTGTTCAAGGTCACTCTGTGCGTCTTCTGGGTCAGAAGAAGGAGAAAGGGAAACGACTGGGAGGAGCGCGGCTGGATTTGCCCAAGATCAGAAAGAACCCGCTGATTGAAATAATTTCCATCAATACAGGGTAAGCTGTGTGCCTTACAGACATTCATGAACAATTCATAGTCATCAGAGATTATAGATACATTGTTTAAGCCGTTCAGGTTTCTTTCATTAAGAATGCGGCTCCTCTGGGACTGCTGGTTCTTTGCTAATGCTGACTTTGGTCGCTGAACTGCAGCCTTGACTGATGTGGCTGAATCGAGAAGCATTTTTATTCGTTCATCAGCACAGCCACATCATATTTTGATGCTCTTTTTTGATACTGTTATATGGATGTGGATAGGCTACTATAGTTATTTACCTGTAGTACAGAGTCGTTCATTGTTGCTTCATTGTTGACAAACAATAGAAGCCATTTACAAGTTTGTTTTCTGCATTGCAATGGATTGTAGGTAAATATCTGGGCCATTCTACCGAATTTACCGTTCACAAAGACCCGCCCCCTTTAGTTACTGTTGCTATGTCTGACAAGCCACGCCGCTCTCATGCCACACTATGCTTAAAATACATTGTGGAGCAGAGATGACACTTACAACTCGCTGACAGAAAGGACAGATCAGGTTATATTTGATATGAAAAAAAGTCTCACTTTTCAAATTTGGCCATTTTTTAATTAAAATTTAAACAATAAATACCGTTTTTTGGCTCTTTAATGTTTCTGACAGATTCCTGTTTAGCCTTAATTTTTGCCATTTAAAAAACAAACAAAGTTTTCACAGGTAAATTAGTAACAATTACAATTTTTACAATATTTCATGTGTAATTTATAAGATTTGTTGTATTTTGAACCAAATCTTTCTTTATAAAAGTCATTAAGTTAATCATACTGATTTCAAAGTTAATGATTTAATAGTTTGAATATACATTGAACCAAACACTATAATAACATCTCGGTTGATAATTCAGTGTACTTCAGTAAACAAAACATCCATGTTTCGGTCGTGACGGCACATTTTCTGTAGTGAGATTAATGTTTTGGTAGCGGCCGGTCACATCACGCTACAGAATTTTAACTCTAAAACTCGTACTAAAACACTACTGGAACATATTAAGATATTAATGATTTGCATAACTGTACTAAAATTTTGTTTATTTCCCCCAAATAAATGATTGTGTTCCCTTTTTTCACTACCAAAACAATGATGACATGTTTCGGCCATGACTGTTTCGGTAGTGCAAGCATGGACTTGTGCATGCTTAATATACGACACCTGTATGTCACTGTAATTATCTTACCTCTATTACAATCATCATCCATCAAAACTTTATTAGCTACACTCTTTTTTCTATCCAACTGAGAGATGTAGTTTGTGTTAACTATGATCATGAAGAGGTTAAGTGTTTTGAGCTTCAATTCAGTTTGTATTTTACACAGCATGATGAGAAACTGCTTGGGCTGCTCCGAAACAATAACAGAATATGTACAAGATGGGCGGTGGTTTGTTAATTTTTTTTATTTAAAGTATTCATAATAAAATGTATTCATTAGATTAATACATTTAAATTAATTTTACGTTATCTCGTGTCCCCCTGGTTGAGAACCCCTGCTATAGATTTACGTTTAAGGTTAGGAATTGGTCTAGAGTTAGTTACTTGCAATTATGCATAAATAACTGTTATTACTATAGTAAGTACATGTACTGTAGTAACGTGTAACTAGGTCACCTTAAAATAAAATGTTACCGATTTATGAGATATCACTTTACAGTGTGAGAAACTGCTACAAATAATTCAATGCATGATTCAAATCTGAATGAATCAAACTGAATCAAACAATTTTGACAAAGCAGTTCAAAAGAGTGATTTATTCATGAATTTGGCATTGCCTGTTCTGATTCTAAACAGCTGATTGAAATCACACAATATGTTTGCAAATATTATCAGGGAAATATTATCAGGGAAAATGATTCTCAGGTCTTGTATACTTGGTCCATTGTCAGGCAAATAATTTATGAGTATTGTTTTACTGGCACATTGTGGTATTTCACCGGGGCTTGTGCATCAGTGGTCTATCAATGCCCCTCGTTGAATACCAACATGATGTTCTGCTGATGGTGAAGCATGGAAGAGTGTGATCTCTATTCCATTAGTGTCACCAAACAGAACTGTAAAAATGATGCCACCCTCCCTGTCTTCCATTGGTTGAATGAACAGGTAGTTCAGAATTGGTGTTATAATGTCATCCTAAAAAGTCATTAGGACTTTTCACACTTGTAGTTAACCCTGAGTCATTCTAAACCCCGGTAAAGGGAACCCTGGGTTATCTTGCTTCATATTTCAGGCTTATATAATTAATAATTTCACACTTTTATAATTAACACAGGGGTTAACAATTAATCCTGGGTATTCATAAGCTGACATTTTAAATTCCTAAACCTTAACGTTCTTTTTTGCATATTTGTGGTGTCGGTGTCATTGATTGCATGAACGTAGCACGCGACCTGTTTACACAAAAGCTCTAGCATCCTCGTATTGCCAACTGTACTCCTATTGAGTTTATACTGAATGGAAATTGTGCAATATAAAGGTTAGAATTAAACTCTCTCTTCTTATTTGCATATTTGTGGTGTCGGTGTCATTGATTGCATGAACGTAGCACCCGACCTGTTTACATAAAAGCTCTAGCATCCTCGTATTGCCAACTGTACTCCTATCGAGTTTATACTCAATGGAAATTGTGCAATATAAAGGTTAGAATTAAACTCTCTTCTTCATTCATATTTTTGTGTTTTCTGTCAGCATTTGAGATTTTTTCTTCTCAAACGTTGAATTTACTGTTAAACATTGCACAGTGATTGGTTTTCTGTTGCTAAACATCCAGCGGTAACAAATCTAACACTACGAGCACACTGTGTAGCCAGGGCATCAGTATTACAATATCATGACAGTGGCATTTGCAGTAGTCAAAACTCTGATTGCATATTTCAAGGGGTTATGGGCAATATTGACCCCAGAACATGTCCTTCAGTGAATTGACAGCCAGACCTGAGCTTTCAACACACCATAGACCACTTTGGACTGTTATTGTTTGACAGTGACAGTTTGACTCCTTTTAGACCAGCAGTTGTTGGGGAAATCATCACTTTGGAATAATCATACTTATTTTCCAAAACACACTTAAATATACATTTGGATTGTGGATTACGAAAGGTGAGCAAAGTTCCTAAAAGGCACAAACATCTATATCAATGAGGATTACTCTGACAAGGTCCGCACAAAGTAAAAGGAACTGTTACCTGAACTTAGAGAAGAGAGGGAAAAGGGGAACATTACCTTTCTAAAGTATGACTAACTGATTGTACATCCTCCCTGATCCAGTTGAAATGCCTTACATGTAAAGGTATTTAACTGTTGTCTGTTTTTTTTTTTTTTGTTTTTTTTTTTTTTTTCCTTATGTCATTTTTACACAGTTTCTCTACAGGTAATTTGGTCTTTAATCCAGTTGATATTGATGAGGAAAGATCATATAATGACTGGGTTGACCCAGATAAAAATAGTTTAAACTTAAGGCAGAGAGATACATGTCATTAATATAATGAAGTTGAATTTAATGCACTGTTCAAAAGTAAATTAAATTATAATGTGGACATGTTTTCCGCTTTTCATTTGAATACCCACAGTCTACCTAAGAAATTTGACTTACTCATACAGTTTCTATCAACTATAGAACATCAGTTGTCTGTGCTTGCCTTGACTGAAACGTGGCTAAATGAGGACATAAGACAAATTTACTCCTTACCTCAATACAACGCAGTACATTTTTGTAGAAAGTAGAAAGGGTGGTGGAGTTTCCCTTTTTATTCATGATGATTTTGAATTTTTTGAAAGGAAAGATCTGAGTATTCATTTTTCTGAAACTGAGGCAGAAGCAATTTTTATAGAAATTTCAAAATGTGGGTGTTTTGGGGGTCAAACTGTAATTATTGGTTGCATTTATCGACCACCTGATAATGATATTGACATTTTTAATGAAGCCTTGTCCTCTATGCTGGAGATTACAGTATAAGTGCTAAGAATAGGACTTGCATTCTTCTTGGAGATTTCAACATTGATCTTTTGAAACACCAATCAAATTCTTCTATTGAGTTCTTAAATACAATCTATTCATATTATGTTTATCCATTTATTGATAAACCAACAAGGATAACATGCTCATCGGCAACCTTAATCGACAATATTCTAACTAATAATTTTATAAATCCAATCACATCAGGTGTAATGCTTACTGATATTTCAGACCGTCTCCCTGTATTTCTGCTTTTTACAAATTCTCAGCAAAAAAAGCCTACCTATAGTATGAAACATCGTAGACTTACTTCTAAATCTGTTGAGTCTTTCAAAAGATCATTGGCTGAGACATCATGGAATCATGATTTTGGACACCAGGATACCGAAACAGCTTATCAGACATTTATGAATATATTTTCATCTTTGTTTAATAAATGTTTTCCTTTGGTACAAAGTAGAAGTAAAAACAGAAGTATTTCTAAGCCATGGTTTAAACCTGCATTAAGAAAATCCTCTATTATTAAAAATAAGTTGTATAAAAAAATCTCTCATTAGCCCTACACCATTAAATATTGCATACTATAAAAAAATATATATATAAAAACAAATTCAGCAAAGTTCTAAAAGATGCCAAGAAAAAAATATTTTTCTGAGAAATTGGGAAATTCTTGTGAAAATACAAAAAAGACCTGGAATGTTATAAATGAATTATTAAAATAAAAACAAACAACTCGAGGATTTCCAGGTCAGTTATCCGATGGTATAGAGAATTATCAAAACCCCATCGATATAGCAAACTGTTTCAATGATTTCTTTGTGACTGTATGTCCTTCACTGGCAAAAAAAAAAAAAAAAAAACGAATATAGGAAAATTTACATCTCAGATTTTTGAATTTCCATATCCTTGCTTAAATGAATTTGATCCTCCAACTTCAAATGAAGTGCTTGAAATTATATTAAAGATGAAGGACACAGCTCCAGGACATCATGAAATTAGAGCTAGTCTTATAAAGA